AGGACAGTCTTTTATTTCAGAAGCCTTCCTTTAGATCCCCCCCCCCATTTTCTTTCCTTCTTTATTTTAGTCATTTAGCTTTTCCTGTACTGAAGAGGCAGGAATTCCTCTATGATAAAGAGATAAGCCAGAGGAGAGATCTAGGGTAAGCTTCCTTTCTGGATTTCGGATTTCACACCGCACCTCAGGATCAAAGCTCAAGAAAGAGCATCCCAATTTGTACATTTTCCTAGGAAGGATACACTAAAACCCACATGTACACAAACCCACCCACACCAATTCACACCAAGGACAGCAACTTGCTTCTTGTAACTTTGAACCTTGTCACACTTTTTCAGACATGATTAGAATAAGCTTTGGTCAAGTTTCCCTTTCCTTTCTTCGAATTTCCCTGCCCAGAGTTATCAACCTAAACCAGAGGTCCCCAAACTTGACAACTTTTAAGACTTGTGGACTTCAGCATAGCTGGCTGGAGAATTCTGGGAGTTAAAGTCTACAAATCTTAAAGCTGCCAAGTTTGAAGACCTCTGACCCAAACTTTTAAATCCTTATGAAACTTAACCCTCCCCCACCCCAAAGATCTGCCCGCGTTTCAGGCTTGTCCTTTTATTTTATTTTTTATTATTTAAGGAAAACATGGTCCCCGCAATTCTGACCCAGGGACTCGAGGCTGGTTTATTTAAGTTCAGACCGAGGAACATTGCCCAACGCTGCTCCGAACACAAGATAAACTAAAAAGAGTGCGGTGTGAAATCCTCCCCAACACCTCTCCCTCACACACTCACACACACGTACATGCCAGAAAAGCACACGGGGAAAACAAAAAGCGCTGGGAAATTCCCCCCGACTCTTCCCCGCCCCCCGACCCACTTTTTGCTCCCATCAGATGCGGATGGTTAGAAAATCACGGCGCCAACCTAATCCCGAGCGCGCAAAATGGGCTCCGCTCTTGGACCGACCGACCGAAGAAAATGCATATATAAAATGCAGCAGGCGCTTCTCATGGACATCGAGGGTGAACTGTGGACTTCCTTCGGGCCCTGCGGCGGCCCGAAGGAAGTTTCTTATCCTCAAGGAGCCTAAGGAGGAGGACCAGCGGGGGTCGAGGGAGGATGGGCGACTGCCAAATCCTCCTCCTCCTCCTCCTTCTTTCGGCCTGGCTCGGCGGCTGCCCTTCTTCTCGCACCCCGCTTTTCCCAAAGGCTTATGGGGAGCGCGGGGGGGTCCAGCTCGTGACACCCCCCACCCCGCCCTCCACTCCGCCACTCACCGCTTCGCCTCTCCTCCCAGCTACTTGCGCAACCTACGCAAGGCCACGAACCATCGCCCTCCCAGATCAGCAGCGGAGACGCCTTCGCTTGCCGACTTCTCGGCTATAACTGCAACGACGCGGCGCAAGGGAAGGTCGCCATTGGAGGACCCGGTGGTCACGTGGGGGCATGGGCGTGGCAAACGGGGTGGGGGAGGCGCTTCCCGTAACGGGCTTTTTTTTTTCCCCCTCGGCTGCCGGGATGCCGGGCAATTGGTCCCAAAAGGGAGGAGTGGGCGGGGGGAGCGGGTGAGGGGCGAAAGGGCCCCGGAGTGGGGTCTGAGGAGATCGAAGCGCCGCTTCTTAGCGGCTAGTTTATAGGTAATATGAGGGGGTTGTAATACGGTTGTACATGCGCAAAGAGACGGCGCTCACTTCATCGGGCGCTATATGGGAAGAAAGCCTCCTTTAAGCCCGATTGTGAATGTCCAATTTAACGGTATGATTATTTACACAGGGCTGGCTTGGTGCAGCTAACAAATTTGCATACGCTGCAAATGAAAACAGCATTCGAAGGGAATGAATTGCTTTATTTAAAATAAAGCGATTTTTTAAAATATTATTTTTAAATACAAATAATACAAACATAGTAAATACAAAAAAAGAAAGAAAAAAACCCCCACAAATATTATAGTGCACCCCCACCCCCCTGGAGACTTACCCCCTTATATTTCTTCATCTATAACAACTAAAAGATATACAATATATTCCAATTGTGCCCTTATTCCCTCCAAAACAAATAAAGGGAAATTTTCAAACAGAACAATCAACAGCTTGCCCTCAGAAGTTGTGGGAGCTTCATGACTGGAAGTTTTCAAGAAGAGACTGCCATCTGTCAGAAATGATACAAGGCTTCCTGCTTGGGCCAGGGGTGGGACTACTTACAAGGTCCTTTCCAACTCTTATTCTGTTCTATTCTGCTTTATCAATGTCCGAAAAGGAATCTGGATGTCTTCAGAACAGGGAGAGATAGTGGGCAAAGGAGAGGTTTGTAGGGGCAAAAAACAAACAAACGTGGTTGAAAGGGATAAAAAGTTTGTGGCAAATCATGGAGGAAGGGATTTGATCTGCAATTAAATGAAATTTTATGGCATTAATAAATCTCAGTATGTGGGAGGAGGGCTTACTGCAACTAATAGTGTACCACTAATTAACACCTCCTGAATTAATTAACTCTTTATATTGCACTATATTTTCACAGAAACAAGCGACAAATGGAGCAAAGAGCAAAAGGTTTTACAAATAAAGGAAGTTACCAAAAGAGAAAGAGGGAACAGATGTTTTCAGCTGGCATCCTCCTTACAAAAAAAAAATGGGAGAAGAGAGAAATAACCCCACAGAGATTTAGTGTGTTCCCTGCAGAAGATTCTGGAGCCAACAGATTTTATCCTTGCTGAACAACAGGCAGGCCAAGGGATATTTAGAGGCTCAGACCACGCAAATTCTGTCCTACTTGGTCCTTGCTGTCTGGGGAAGAAGAGGCTGCTTGAAAAAATTGGAGGCGCTTGTACTACTGTACTTCCTTCCCACTTGAGCCTTACATAGCAGAGAAATCTGCCGTTTATTTTCTTACTGATTTCCAAGGAATCCTAAAAAAATGTTGCTAAAGGCCTCTGATCTGTGTCCTCCCCCTTCTCCGTCCTTTTAGCACCTTTCTAGCTTCATGGAAAGGCAGGAATTCCTCTATGATAAAGGGATATGCCAGAGGGGAGATCTAGGGTAAGCTTTCTTTCTGGATTTCGGATTTCACACCGCACCTCAGGATCAAAGCTCAAGAAAGAGCATCCCAATTTGTACATCTTCCTAGGAAGGATACACTAAAACCCACATGTACACAAACCCACCCACACCAATTCACACCAAGGACCAGTCCCCCTATAAAACCATTTTCTGGATTCCATTTCCTCTGTAGCTACCCCCAAAAACAGATCTTTTTGTTCTTGGGAAAAACATGAATCTCCTTTCTTACAGTATGTCTGGATGTCATTTTTGATTTGTTCTAGTACCACCCCAGCTCATGGAACCCCAAATTATTCTTCAAGCAATGTTGTATTCTCAAATAATTGTTGAGATAGGATTTATCAAAGGGAAAGGGTTCAGGGGTTCCTCGTTCTATTTTGAATGTTGCTGAAGTATTGTTTCACTTGCAACTCTGGCTAAGTAGCAGTTGAGAAGGCTTTATCCATTCAGAAGTTGGATAAATGGATAAGATGGCTCTAACTAGTTATAAAGCATTGATTACCAATATGTTACTTGATATTCCTCCTAGCCTACTTCTACTGGACTCTTCTCATTTCTACATTCACTTGCCTCCTTATAGCCACACTTACTTTTTAAGAAACTTGGGAGCAGGAAAGCACTCCTGGAAGTGAAATGTAATTGAGGGTGAAGGTTTGTTTTCCGAGCTTGTGGGTTGGTTTCCCAATGTTTCAGGCTAGGTATGAGGGGCAAATAACATGGATTTTGTTATTTGTTAACTAATATAGTTACTTTATATTTTAATCTGTTTTACATTTTTTAAAGTGATGTTTAAGATTTATTAGCTTTTAACATTCCTAAACTGATAAACAAGCTGGAGACTAGCTCCTGATAAGAAAAGTTTGTTAGTACAAATTGGGGTCTGTCTTATCTCTTTTGTGAACTCTAAACAACCTTTCTCCTTACAATTTATTCCCCTTTAAACCCCATTTTAATAAACATGTATGCTATTATCCTATCCAATTAACTTTCCACTTTCAGATTTTTTTTTTGTTATATTAACTATAAAAGGGGATGTAAGCTAAAGATCGGGTTTCCCTCTTTGAATGAGGAATCCCTTTTGTCTGAATATTCTGATAAATTGCAATAAAATGATCTTCCTGTCTCGGTTTCTCTCATTGGAAAATATGCCAAGGCAGGGGTGGGTTGCGGCCGGCATTACTGCCGGTTTGGTGCATGTGCAATTTTGCACTATTGAAAGGTAATTCTCAATGTTTTATTTTCAGCATACTAGCTTCCCAATTTTTAAACATTTTAAAAATAGAAATTAATGGGAGTAGATCCCCTTCTGGAAATGTTTGGCACCCCGATTTGCCTTGTTGGGGCCCCTAATTGTATCTTAAGGTTTTATTTGTTGCAGGCATCTATTATGTTTTAGCAAAATAAATTCCTAAGTTACTTTTCCAGGTTCATCAAACCTGGAGATGTATAGGGTGCCTGTGCTTTTCTCCAAATCTTGGGTGCATCCTTCCAAAGATTTTGACTGCATTATCATTTTACTTGGTTTATTTTATATATATCCTTTCTATTGGGAAATACCAAGGGCGGGTAACAAAACTTACTTTTTAACATGATCAAAATTCATTAAATTATTGGAAACAATGGTAAACATCTTAACTATTTAATTAATTTACATTCAACAACCTTTAGATTGAAATGAAAATAAAACAAGTTTTGTTATTTTGGGAGTATGATCTTTATGCCACTCAGCTAATATAATCACCATAATCTATCTCAAAAAAGGTTATGAAGTTTTGATTTAAATGTACTTCCTCAGTTCCACCTGAACTTGAGATCTTTAGTCATCTCTATGTATGCCACATGGTGGTGCTTTTCTTGCTGCCTTGAGGGAAACATCCTCAGGGAACTGGCTAAGTTTCTTAGAGAGAGAGTAGCCTTCCTTCTGCTCTAAATATATATGTATGTAAGGACTAGATTTCATTTCTCCCTTTTTGATGCTTCTCTAGAAGGAATATAGAAATTAACTGCAACTTCATGCAATAAGCCAGAGCAAATAGTTATACATCAACTAACTGAAAACTGAAGTTGTATGTCTTGTCACTACTTTTTTAGCTTTTTGCTAGATTATATAGCTAACATTATCTATTAGGCTTCTTAGGTTAGCATGGTGAAGTACAACTCCCTTAGTCAGCATCATGGGAGCTGAGCCACTTCTGGAAAAGGCAAGGTTGAGGAAGGCTGCACTAAAGCTGCAACTGGGTTGACTGAATTCAACAGGACCTTCCTTTCTAGTTTCACTTGTTGCACAGCTACAAGTTCCCTCTTTTGTACAGCTCTCAAAAGTTGTTGCCACCTACATTGCCTATAAGTCACTTCAGCTAGCATACTGTAATGTAACTTTAATTCTGTTGGTTACACACGGAAGGTGCTACAAACTCCTTATGGTTTTTGTATTTTTTCCTGTTTTCCTTGTTCAGTCCCAATACCATAGCAGTTACCCTCACTGGACTTAAAAAAATAGCCCACTGTTATTCCAGTAAGGTATCCATTTCTTGCCTTCTTTACTTACTGGATGCTCTTGGCAGTATACATTCCCTTTGTTTTTTTTAACCATATTGAGTCCTATTTCTTGTACTTGGATCTTTTCTATTCTTGGTCAGAATATGCCTTCCATCACATGTCTACCCTACATGGTGTGATACTCTGATTTCCAATTTGTTTATTATGTTCTGGTCATGGTTTCCCAAACAAGTAACTATTGTCTGGAATCTCTCATTGCTCTAATTGCCTTAAATCTATTTTTGTTATGATTGCTTAGGGGTCTCTAGCTTACAGTATGTAACAATCTGTATAGATATCATCTGTCTCAAAACTAATTGGGAAATCATTGTTTTGAGAACACAGATTTGCTCAGAAGCTTTGGAGGCAGTGATGATAATTCAGATACACGGACAATCCACATGTGATCATTCCTATCCTGATTGTTTCTCATCCATCTGCCAA